GATAGATAGATAGATAGATAGATAGATAGATAGATAGATAGATAGATCCCACTGTTTAGAAAAATAATATTGATTCCTTTATTCTATGATATATTAACAATAGCCTATAGTGTGGCATGAAAAAGAAAATCATATATCTTAATTGAGAAAATAATCAAACAAGATTGAAATGGATGGAAAAACTGACAAAAAATCCTAAATCATAAATGCCATATGGGCAAAATGTTTGCTTTATTGGCAGCAAACTAAGAAAATTTTAAAGTGGAGACTAATGTGACATTCCTGTTAGAATAAAAACTGTTTGTTTCTCTCTGGAGGAGGGATTTTCAGACTATTTTTATGGTTTTGAAGAGTAAAAAAATAACCAAATTAGAATTTAAAATACAACCAGAACAAAGATATATGTACATGGACTTTCAAAATACTGGACCACCCCCACCTTTTCCCTACAAATGGTTTTGCCCAGTCCAATCTCCTCTCTTCTCCTCTAACAAGGCAGCTACAACTAACTCACACTTCCTGGGTTTGTGCTTTTGCCCTTTTTTTGTGGACATCTCTGGCCCTAAAGGGCTGCCGTCCTGCAGCTTTTACATGCTTCCCCGCTTCAGCACGCCTGATTCCAAGCGAATCTAAAGATCTTCTAAAGATTCTGCACCAGTCTGCCAACCGTGCATCGATTTGCGTCAGGTGTGTTGCAGCATCTGGACCCTGCAGGACAGCAGCCCTCAAGAAATAGAACTGCCCTCCCCTGTCCGAATGGACAGTGTTCAGCTGTTAGTAACTTCTATGGAAGGCTAAAAGTAACAAAGAGGTCAACAAAGAACCCCTAAAACATAATTCATGTCATTTCACAAATTAAAACTAATCTGTTTTGGTTAAAGACAGTATTTTTAAGTTCAGTACACTTAATACATTCAAACCAAGTATATTTTTGGATGTATTTTGTTAGAAAAGTGAGATTTTGTATGCAATAGGCCCTATAGCAAGTTTTGTTGGATTAAATCTGTATTTTTTTCTCCTACCCACAGATGGCATTGGTCTTATTTGGGCAATTGAGAGTTTTCTTGATTTGATAAACCATAAACAGAGAAGGTTTGAAATGCAATAAAGGACAGTGGTTTTTATGGAGGGTGAAAACTTAACTGGCTACGAAAAACCAAACAAAATATCTTACTGGCC